AAAAATAGCTCTTCAAAACTAAAGTAAACAACATTTTAAATTCTATTCTACAACATCTGCGAAACCTGATGGCCCTGAAATTAGGAAAATTATAAAAGAGGAAATGGAGGCATTGATGAAAATACTTACATCAAAAAGGCTACTTGAACCACCTCATCGATCTGTCTTAGATCCACCCATGTCGTTTCCTACTGCAAACACTGTTAATCTCTTCTCCGAACCTACTACAGCTTCGGAGGTAGAGTATATGGACTCAGAAACACGAGGAGCTAAGCGAAAGACGTCTCCTACTAAAACCCGGTCTAGGGAATCGAGCATAACATCGGTCGATGAATATAAAGTAACCGAGGCAAAGCAAGAAAGGAAGAAGAAGGGGTGGCCGAAAGGCAAACCCAGACTTCCCCGTAAGTCAGAGGCAACGCCGAGAGGGTCTGGTACGGCTTAACTGTGATACTATCTGTGATATATTTTTATGTTTAATAGTTTAATAGGTGTAGTTGTGGTGAACGTGATCAAAACTGTGATAATTGATAATTATTATTTATTTGTAATAGTCCGATATACACTGTCATCTGTTATTTATTTTATGTTATGTACTCAACTGTGATTGTCTTTATCCTGAAACTAACAATGGATAACACAAATATCATCCAGTGGAATTGTCGAGGACTAGCTCATAATCTAAATGAACTAAAACTGGTCATTAAAAAGCACAATCCAGTTTGTATAGCCCTTCAGGAAACGCACCTGAAAGTAAGGCACAATTTTAACATGGAAGGATTTTTATTCCCCTGAAAGGGCATGTGGCGGAGTAGGACTTGCAATCCGTAAAGGAATACCGCATAAAAGGCTACAGATACTCACACAATATCAAGTTGTAGCAATACAACTTGAAATCAGCCGAAGTTTTGCGCTGTGTAATATTTATCTTCCCAATACAAATTATGATGTAGGAGAAATTGAAAGAATCATCAATCAACTCCCAAAACCGTTCATCCTTATTGGAGATTTTAATTGTCATAACACTGTGTGGGGCTCTACCTCAAATGATGCACGAGGTAAAGAGCTATTAGATCTCATCGAGACTAAAGCTCTTTGTATTTTAAATGACGACTCCTCTACTTACTTTAACATAAGATCAGGCACTTTTGACACCATTGATTTGTCTATATGTTCTCCGTCTCTATACACTGAATTGAAATGGGAAGTGGAAAATGATCTATTTAATAGTGACCACTTTCCCATAATCTTGACTTTTCGAGGTGTCAACATTCCTGCAATAAGATCTACAGCAAAATTCAAAATCCAACAAGCAGATTGGGAATATTTTACTCACCAACTATGTCCTCCTCCAAATGATGACAAGCTAAACCTGGTGAATATCACATCCTCCATTTTGGAAGCTGCAAAGAAAAGTATACCTATGTCAAAGGCTAGACAGATCACTAGATCTGTCCCATGGTGGTCATCTGTAATAAAAGAAAAAATAGCAATTAAAAAAAGAGCATTAAACAAGTTCCGACGTAATCCTTCCCTGGATAACCTGATAGTCTTTAAAAAACGCAGAGCTGAATGTCGTCGGGAAATTCTCCAGGCACAAAGAAGGTCGTGGCAACACTATGTATCCACCATAACGACGGACGTGACTATGAGTGAAATATGGAAAAAAGTGGGTTCGATATCTGGCAAATCTAAACTAAACTACCCGGCATTCCTTCGGAAAAACGATGGGGTGGTTACGAAAGATTTACAAGAAATTTCGTACCTCTTGGCAGACCATTTCTATCAGGTCAGTAGTTCGTTACTATAACTTACCTTTTAGTATGGATGAATTAGAATCTGCACTTAAAAACACGAAATCCTGCGCTCCCAGTCACGATAGTATCCACAATCAGATGCTTCGTCATTGTAGCAACCCGATGAAACAAGTGATTTTAGATTTCTTTAATTTTTGTTGGGAAAATAGTATCTACCCCGATGAGTGGAAACGGGCCATAGTCGTTCCCATACTTAAAACGGGGAAAGATCCGTTGTTGGCGCAGCACTACCGTCCAATTAGTTTGACTTCATGCCTAGGCAAACTCTTGGAAAAAATTGTTGATGGGAGATTGCGGGTCTTTCTGGAAGAAAACGAGATCATGGTCCCCTGTCAGGCCGGTTTTCGGAGAGGTCGGTCGACGGTTGATCATTTGGTTAAATTAACTGATAACATCCTAAAGTCGTTTGATGGTGGCGAACATTTGATTGGGGTCTTCTTTGATATCAAGAGCGCATATGACATGACATGGCGGTATGGTATACTTAAAAAATGCTTGAATACAATTTACGCGGAAACATGCCCAAATTTATTAGATCTTTTTTAAGAGACAGAAAGTTTATTGTTAGAATTGGAGAGGCGTATTCAAACGAGCGCGTATTAGAAAACGGGGTCCCGCAGGGCTCGACTTTAAGCTGTTCACTGTTTGCAATTGCCATAAACGGAATAGCCCTGGGTGTTGCCGACACAGTCGATAAATCCCTATACGTCGATGACTTAATGATTCATTGCGCCGGAAAAACCGTTGGTTCCGCTGTGCGTATACTACAAATGGCTATCAATAAAATTTCTGATAATGCGGATGCAGTGGGGTACGTTTTGTCTGAGGAAAAGACGAAGGTGGTTCATTTTTGTCGACTCCGAAGACCACACTATGACCCCGTTCTATTTATGAAAGACCGTATAATAGCTGTGTCCCAAGATATGAAATTTTTGGGACTTACCTTTGACAGGGAACTGCGGTGGTCCAAGCATCTACAGAATGTTGTCACAAAGTGTAGGAAATCATTAAATGTCATTAGGGTCCTGGCCCACTATAAGTGGGGAGCTCACCCAAAGACGTTACTCGACGTCTACAAGGCCTTAATTTTATCGAGAATTGATTATGGGTGCTGTGCTTATCTGACATGTGACAACAGTGCGATGCTTGGGAATCTCGATAAAATCCAAAACCTCGCCATACGGTATTCCCTCGGAGCTTTTCCAACGAGTCCGGTCGCTGCGCTTCACGTCGAGGCGAACATCCTTCCTCTAGCCCTCCGTCGTAAACAGGCTGCTGTAAACTATTATCTTAAAGTAATTTCGGATGAACGACATCCGAATCACGTATCGATGGCAGGCGCAGTTCCGCGTCGACGACTGAATAGGTGCAGAACGCTGAGCCAAAGGGCTAGAGAGGATCTAACGTATCTACAACTAAATGACCTTGATGTTGCAAATGAGACAACAGTAACCCGACGTACACTCGTCAGGGCTCGGGTGTATGAGCGTTGGAGCGACCTATGGGCGAGGTCCGATTCATTTTTGAAAAGGGTCAAACCCGATTTGGGGCCGCTATTTCTTCTTGGCGAGGGTCGGTTTGTATTCGTGAAGATGTTTCGAATTAGACTTGGGCACACCGCATTAACCCATAGCGCCTTGCTGGAAGGTAAACCTAGACCCCTATGTGCGAATTGTGAGGTTAATTTAACACTAGAGCACATACTTTGTAACTGTCCACGATACAAAGATATACGGGACAACTTCGGGATATGCCCGATATGGGAAGGTAACTTTAACAGCGATGAACGGTGTCGAAGGGTGATAGGATTTTTCCAAAGTGTGGAAATGTTGCACAAACTGTGATATAATGGCTGTCTATTTAATTGTTATTTATTGTTGTCTGTCAGTTACCAACTTTGTCATATGGAAAATATTGTATTGTATGTGAGTCGACCTACCTGTATGTAATATTCTATTAGAACGAAGTGTGTGATATTTTGAGAAAATAGGCAAATGGCCATAGAAGCCGAAGCCTTAGGTGGGGTTTTAGTGGGTATACCCGAGTAAGGGAGAGCCCCACACTACTCCAGACCTTTCAACCTGGAGTGTGCATAAGGAGCATTTCCCCACCTACCAAAAAAAAAAAAAAAAAAAAAATAATAATTTGAATAACTGAAATACGGCGGAGGATATAAAAGCGCCAATTGAGTACCAAATTATAATAAATGCGGTACGTGAATATCGCGATATTCTACATTTTACTACCTAGTAAAAGGGGTGGTGGCTTTCGATTAGTAGGTATAGGTACGTGTGCTCATTGCTAATTACTGATTAAATCGACAGTATTGCACATAATTCAACGTAGTTGTGGGCGTTCCAACAATCAATTAGAAACCTCCACCAAAACAATATTTGTCCAACATTTTTTCATATTCTCCATGTGTTTGTATAGGTAATACAGGAAACTGGGACAATGTATTTATATATTGTGTGAAGTCCGTTTTCGGGGTAGATAATATTTTAAAGTTTATTGTACTTTTCTAGTTGTAGCGGAAATATTAACCCTTGATAGAATGGTCGAGGATTTGATTGAATGTTTGTACCCTGTATAATTGGAATCGGGCATCATTGGTTTCTGCGCTCTTTATATGTACATTATTTATGATTTCCTTTTTTATGATCATAAAATGAAAGCCGGCTTAACTGCAGAAGATCCGGTGAACTTTTGGTACTAAATTATTTTTGGTTCGTTTGAGAGGGAGGAAAGTAAACGAAAATTAATGTTCTGCTAACAATCCCAGAAAAAGTGTAAATTTTTTGCAACGAAAATCGAAGTCGCTTACCTAGCAGGATTAGTATCGTATCGTATTGGAAAATGTGAATGAAATTGTAGTGGGGTGACCGATGCTCCGGAGTACCGCATATCCTGAGCTCCGGAGATTCCTGCGACGCCGTAGCGAAATCTACTTTGAAGCGCAGCGCCCGCACCTGTCAGTGTGCTTTCAATATCCGCATGCAGTACTTATTTCTACAAATCCCGTTTTATTAAATAAAAAAAACGTGACTAGTTGCCGTAGCATTTTTTATTCAGAAATATTTATGTTTATTTGACGACATTCTCATTTGCATTTTTCATTAATCTCGCATTGATTTTGTGACCATCCGGAAGTAGTATCGCCGCAGTTTGGTGTAAAGGTAAGTTACCCCTTCATTACTCTTTTCGTTTCAATTGAAAGTTCTGCCAAGATCCTAATAGAGTATTTCAGTCACGGCACGTGCGAAAGAGTGAAATCTGCAATTATGCTAATTCGCCAAGAAATCCGTTCTATCCTACTATGCACCCTTAATTAAAGCAAATTGAACTGATGAATATAGATATAAATCTAATTCAGTGTCTGGTAAAAATTAAAACTATTTTCGACCCATCAAGAAAGTTAACTTTTTACCGCTTCTCCCATTAACTTTACTTCTGTTTAAAAATCCACGATGTCTCTCAACGCAAGATGAGTTTATTCATATTAAACTTGATTACTGGGGGCACGAATTGAAGATGCTCCCAGTCGTATAATAACGCAATTTGGTAGGGAAACGTTCACATAAACTGAAGGGGTGAAACAGTATTAGAAAATTGGTAGTGAAAATGACAGTCATTGAATGCAATTGTCACGAAGTGGAAAATCATTTCCTTACGTGTCGAACGTGTAATTTTTACGCGTACCTGCTCAGAATTTAAAGCTTGAATAAAAACTGAATTTTATAATAGAATATTGGACAACTGGTAAAAATTTGGAAAAAGGCGCTTTTCGCGCGTGACACGAAAGCCAAACAAGATCAGACAGAGTTTTCGCACTGCATTCATCTCTTCAATGATTGCACCAACAAGTTTACTCTTTTAATAAAACTGGATAGAACTTTCGGGTAGAAACCACGTTGTCTGAAAACAATTTTTTATGAAATGAAAGTGGTAGTACTTAGGTATACAGCGTGTGTTCGGTGTGACAGACTGACGTGTAAACGCGTAAACGCAGCAACGTACCGAACAAATTTTTGGTGTTTCGTCGAAACCCCGACGCCGCGTGGATCGATTGCAAGCCGCGAGCGCAAGTTGTTAATAAAGCTCGGCTCGCGACGCCCGCCGCCGCGTCACCGAAATCACGTACTCATGCATTACTAGCGAGCACGTTCGCAAAGGGGTTCGGTTCGTTGTTCTGCTCATATATTTGGCCATATCTGATTTGTACGAAAGCGTAGAGCTACCATAATAATTCGCAGAGTTTATTGTTCATAATTTAGGGAAACATTTTCTGTCCATTTTCTTATTAAAGTTTATGCAATAAAATCTACACAGTTGTAGTTGGTTAAGTTGTACATCTGTTTTCCTGATGTGTACCTCATTTGAACGAAGTGCGCTATTGCCCGTCTGCACATCTGCCCGTCAGTCTTAATCGTAAGGTGTGCTGTCACATAGGTATTAAGCGAAAGCTTATAATGTCAGAAGGTGAATATCCTCCTTTCATAGTGGGTAATCCTTCAGACGGCGGAGAAAGGGGTAGAGGTGAATCATTTACTACAGTAATTCTATGTATAGAAGTAACACTTAATTTAAGGTATAAGGTACAAGGTATAAGGTATAAGGCATATCCAAATTTGCAATAAAAGATGAAAGAGTTCTATCTAAAAAAACGGAAGTTTGATACGCCACTGGTGATAATAAAATATTTTAGAAATATAGCGACGCTAAGACTCTTTTCGATATCTTTTATAGTAAAATACTACACCCTGTATATAATGTGTAAACTGCAGGGGGTCTCGTGTCTCTAGGTCGAAATAATGCAGACGATGAGAGCGAGCCACCCTATAGTTGAAAATTTGCGTGCTGTAAACGTAATTTCGGTACAGCATTGGAAGTTTTAGGCGCGACGTCCTGTACAATGGTGTAATTTGTTTGTCTAGGACCTGCGGAATACTAGTTAAAGCTCTAAGTTTTTCGTGAAAATGAACTCTGTATGTAAGCGGTTGTGTACAGACATGGCTTTATGTTCGCCTTACAATTTTTATTACAGGGTTTTGTAATTGTGTTTCTTTTGTTTGATAATAAATTTTTGTAATCTCAGGTTGTCAATGAATTGTGTGTCAATTTGAAGTCCAATTTATGATCCAGGTAACGGGCGATCAAAAATGAGTTGCTGTCGAGTCGCCTTTGGAAGTTCAAGTTAAGTACGATTTCTCATGTATAAACAAAAATTCCAAAGGTGACTAGACAGCCACTCATTTTTGATCGCATAGTAAAATTCCCTTCAATTATTATGTCAGGTTTTTCTTTTAAATTTGTTGTATCCAAATAGGATTTCTAATCTGCTTCAAAATTTATTTAGCGTTTCCGTAGGAATTTACAGAATTCTATTTTATCCTGAACGTTTCACTTTGTGCCTGGACCGGGAATTGAAAATAATGGTAATTGTCAGCTAGCTAGGTAAGTGTTCGTTCAATATTACTTTTATTTTTTGTGTTTATTACCCGAGTTTTTTAGGCAAAGAGCAATAAATATGCTCCGCCTAGCTGTCAGTCAGTAATCCTCTTCTGGCCTCTTAAGGAAAGGGAAAAAGGATAAATATTAAGTTAATAATCTTTATTAAGTGTTTTTAATTTTGTTTAAAGTATATTTTTGCTGCAATAGAATAACAGATTAGTAAATGGAAGTTTGAGACGAGTGTATTTTCATTAGTACCTTATATAATAAAAACAAAGCGAACTGCAATACGTCAATATGGAGGATTGATTTTCAGACGCAAGTCTAAATTCTGCTGGCACTTGGCGTCCACAAACACCAACTTGATGCAAAATCGCAAGTAAGTGGTTAAATCGCCTTTACTTAAGTATACAAAATTAAATAGCGTTTGTTTTAATTCACTGCGACTCCAGTTCAATTTTATAACGAGGCTGTCAACAACAACAAATGGCAATACTACAACGACATACAACAATTGTTCGTAAATACCCTCCATGTTTGTGGATCAGGAGTTCCAGATGCGTTCTGCTCATGGTTCTCAATCCAAATAAATTGGCTCCCCTTCAACAGCGAAGGGTTTAAATACCGATCCGCGACGACGAACAGGCATTCTAAGTTTCGTTAAACACCAGGAGTAGGCAGGTAGAGGTCAGTGGCAACTACTCGTTGCGTTCCCCCACGCTCTTCGATTAAGGACGTGAGTGAAGCTTTCGCTAACGTACGAAGAATCTAACCACCCCACCGTCGGGCCATCGTCAACTTCTGAGTATTCCATTCTCCTTACGCCGCGTCGCCGCCATGGGGAACTGTAAAGCCGTGTGTGATATTCGTCTTGTGGATTGAACTTGGTAAAGTTGTTTAGCGTGTATATATTTTGTTTATTGATATTGTGTATAAGCACCCGATGTTCATTGTACCTATTCTTTAGCTCGTTATATATGAAGGTACATATGTTTGTTCATTTGTATTATATGTCTAGTTCTCCTGGTAACTTGGTGTTAGTGACTTTACTTTCGATCCGAAGCGTTGCTCGATGTCCCCAACTGAATTTTGCACGGACCGATAATAGAATCCTTGAATGCATCATCCAACGACCGAGCATCTTCGGATCAATTCTAGGAGTAGGGAGATTGAGGTCTACGGCAACTCATCACTTTCCAAACCGCTACTCCTTAGTAGTTTGATACGCGCCATCTGATCCTGTATATATTTTTTATTATACCTGAATCGTTGTTTAAAACACGCCCGAGCGTGCGTAAAAAGGCGATTAAAAGACGCCGAGCTTTAAAAGTTGCTAAGTAACGTTATAGTCTAAGAGCCCGCGACGCAAACCATTACCATTCAAATAGCAGCATAAAACGTATACATGAACAAGTATTGGAGGTGACCATACACGAAACGCTCGGTCTGTCGGACCGCATTTAGCCGGAAGGTAAACAAATTCAATTGTTTGTATATTTCATAAGAAATCATTACTTTTAACAAAAGCAGGTCATATGTGGTACCAAATTAAAGCTCTTGGCGTCAGCTGCACAAATAACTCGGTCTGTCGGCAGGCAAATAGCCGGAAGTCCTTGACAGACCGACATTTAATCTGCTGCTAGAAGCCGACATTTCAGTTAGTTATAAATTTCTACGGGCACTCTGATCCAAGCATTTTAGTTCTGTACTAAAGAGTAAATAACCATAAACCTCTACAGCGGATCTAAAAAAGCGGCTGAGCTCCTCGGTTTGACCTTACGGGATGATTGAACATTTAGTCTGCTGCTGGAATCCCACAGTTAGCTCAAAATATAAGAGAATCATTCAATTCAAAAACAAAACGGTACAAGCTCTGAAGCTCATCAATGAGATTACACAAGCATGTCAGCTGAAGTAATGAAGAAAAGTATTAATTTCATATTTTGTCGATAACTTTTCTTCACTTTACAATTATTTTGTGGGATTAGTGCGTCCGTAAACACGATACCTGCCAAACGCTTGAACCGATTCGGTTCAAATTTTGCACAGTTGCCCTACATGCCATATGTAACAAGTCTATTGAACATTGGTCAAATCCATTGACCCCGTGGAGCCACGCCTCTCTGTCTCTGGCAAACGCTCCCCTACCTACTGGCGGTATAGTGTGGCTTAGCCTCCGGCGGTCCATAAACTAAATCCGGCACTGACCAGATGTTCATTTCAGTTGAAATTTATCAGCTTTCGCCTGATGTCAACAGTTTTTATCGCAAACACTGAGAAAATGCCTTTTTTTAATTTTTCTGTATCGGTTCAGATAACATCAGAAGACAATAAAAACAGAAACGGCAAATTTCAGATTTACTGGAATATCTTCGGAAGTAGACGGAATTTCCTGGTTTTCTTTACAGCACGATAATAACTCTTTAATTGCGCAACTTTTCCCTAATTTGACCATCGTCCTATCTAATATCTTTTATGGTCTCCGAGAACCCCATGATAGACATCGTTATCTTGGACACAGTGTATAAAAATACATTATAGACTCTGTGACTTAGAAACTAGTCTATGGGAAAGTGAAATTTTGATAGTGGTTATAAAATAAAAACTAAATATTAGGCTTCTGCGTCCTAAGATAATGGGTGCCAAGCCACTTGCAGTTCATGCTGGAGTTGTACCAGCGTCTGTGGAGGGCCTATTCAAAATTCTCAATCTTCTAACCTAATGCTCCACACTCGTTCAATAGGCTAAAAGTCGTGAGGCCTGGCTGTTCATGGAAAAGTGGCATTCCGAAGTCCTGGAAAAAGTAAGGATATGGTGTTCTACCACCTCGTCAACATATTGCCATTCAACAACTCCAGCAGTGGCAGATTCCAGTTCAGGCGCAACTTAAATTTGCTTCTATGAAATTTAATCAAATACAGAATTGCTAGTTTGGTCAAAGAATTCCAATGTATTCTTCATCTTGCAATATCCCCGTCACCTAAGTATACATGTGGTAAATTAACTTGTCTAGTTTTGACGTATAAAATGGTAGGTTTCTTTGAAAACTGATTGACGTTAAGGAACGCCTTACTTTTTCTAAGCGGTTAAGAGGTTGGTTGTGAAATATTACGCTTTTAACGTCCTAATTTGAAGAATTATTGTATTTGATTTATAAATAACGTTTATTTAGACCTATTTCTCAAAGTTGAACAAGGCGTTACACGCAAACAAATTATTCAATGCCTTCTTGTAATTTGACTGGAGATGTACGAGTGAATCTCGCTTCTCTGGGCTTTACAGAATAATCCTCATTATACTAAATTGCTCATTTCATCACTAAAATAGCTATTTTTCATAAATTAGCAATTTTCTTACACTCGTCGTTGTTGTAGATACGTATAAAGCTCTTCATGTGTTATCTCTTACTTATATAGAATTCTTTCAACTGTAATTTTCGTAAAAGCGTTTTTTGTAGGATTAATTCTATTAGGAAAGAAAAAAGCCATCTTTTTCGACATCATTCGTTGCCGTTAACAAAGTACCCTTATTATTTAGGTATGTAACGCCTGATCAGTTGAATGGTTTCGGAAATAGTCCATTCGTGGGTTCATTTAAAACATGCAGACATACAATGCAAGCTAACAGTGGCTAACTTTTTTTACATTAATTAAATTTGATGTGATTATGAGTAACCTGCATCTACACTAAATGTATGTAAAATAAATGGAAAGCACCCAAAATCTCGCCTTATTAAAGCTTCATAACTTGAAATTAGAATATTTATAGTCCAACCGTGTGGCTTAAATACCTTGACCAATAAAAATTAACTGAGTAATTATTCTAAATTAAGTTTTTAACGCCCATTTACATTCCTCTTAATCCTCATTTATACCCAAACTGGTTCACATCCAATCGCTAACGATTTCAATAATATAAAAAAGTGAAAATATTTATTTATATAATAACGGTTGTGTGTTCCTTGAAAAATAAAAGTTGAAATTTATTGAAACTTCGAATAATCTTGTGTGGACAACGTAGTAATTTATAATCGAATAATCTAACTCAAAAGGGGAAACCTTTACAAATGTCGTAAATAAACGCTTTAATGGGACCGCGGCGTAGCGTTGAGGAAAGTTTTTTGATCGTTAACCCTTTTATGCTGGTCATTTGTTAAATTCGGAAATGATCTATAAATTTCATCATTGATTTTCGGTACAAACTGTATCTGTACAGCACCTCAGGGATGGCGAATAATTAATATGTGTAATCCGTTCAGTCAAAGTAAAATTTCAGTCTTGCACAAAAAATTATAAAAATTAGTAACATCATGAGATTCGCTGCAATGCGAAGATATAGGGCTTATAGAGTAGACAAAATAGTCGACCTGATTGGGTTAGGATGGATTGGAGTGGTTTTGGGAGTAGAAATTGGTTTCACAGTTTCCAACTTCCTACCAAATAAGGTTGAACGTAAAGGTTATCGGTAATAAAATAACCTATACCTAACTTTGGTATAATCCATTTTTAGTGCACGTCAAGTTTTCCAACAAAAAACGGAAAATGGTTTTTGCGTTTTTAATTTTAGGTAGTGATAACGTGAAAAGGTTCTTGTTTGTGTCTCAAATAAGCACTAATTTTTTTGAATGAAAATATTTTTTACATTTCGATGTTCAGCTCAGAGACTTCAGAGACTATTGTCGTACCCTTTAGAATTTTGGGTGATTGTTGCCATAAGGAATAGAATTACCACTCCAAAAAATGTCCACAAGGAATCCGAGATAGATGTCTGTGATTTTTGGGTAATTGTTCAGGAAGCCCCAAAATAGCGCGGTTCCGAAGGACTCCCCTGTATCCTAATAATGTAGTTTGTACTCTACACCATTTTTCGAATGGGAATTATCCACAAAAGGAATGTATAATTGCAGAAATTTGGCGGACGCAGGCAATGGTCGGCATGTTTAATCTTAATGGATATATCTCTGGTATACTATGAAATTAATTCTATTGCGTACCTATATAACGCCGTTTCAGAGTCCATTAGTTTGTCTGTCTGCTTGGTGCCTCGGAAAAGTAATAACTTGAACCTCCACATCCTTGTGTGAAATCTTTACTAACGGGCATTTGTCTTCGGACTGACCTTTAATAACACATAAACTTTTTGAGTTTCTCTGTATAATCAATTTTTCTTCAGCGATAATAAGCGCCTGTATAGCTAATCATTGATTTTATTTTTTCTGTGTATAGTATGAAAGAAGGCAGGTCTTTACTGATAAACTATGCATGAAAATAGCGGATGCAGGCAGCAGAATATGTTTGATGGTGTGACAATGTCGCGTCGTATATTTTGAAAAGCAGCATTCAGTAACAGGATTACTGCTACCATAATTAGGTTTACACATACACACAGGTACCTACAACACATTCACCTGACGCGTTAGAATGTAGAAATATTTAATATACTTTCCTCTATAATCGGCGCTTACAATGCATTCGTAGGGAATAGTATCGTGCCTCTAAAACTCCCTGAGCTGAACTTCAACGGGGATAATCATCACAAATTTGCAGGCAAATTCTTCCATCTTTCCATAAAAGCTAACCCACTTGCAATATTGACAACATATCACGAAAAATATTGAAACGATTTCCTACGCTCTAGTATATTCTCATCTATCATCAATGCAATATTTATATTGCAGATGTTGGAAATGTTGAAATATACGTCTGATATACGAATAACGTTGGAAATGGTGTCGCATTTGATTGAGTTACTTCCTTCCATTTGCATACTTTTGAAGCGGTTTTGAGTACAAAAGCAAAAATCTAAGTGTTCGTAAATTTGATTTTAACTTTGTTTCAAATTATAATCTGTCTCGTTTTTGAATGCTCCACCAATATATACATACAAA